TCTCTCTCTCTCTCTCTCTCTCTCTCTCTCTCTCTCTCTCTCTCTCTCTCCGTTTAGGAGGAAGATTTGCGAGCAGCCTTAGATCCAAAATACGCTCATTTAAATGATGACTTGCATGTAGAAATATCGGCATTGGCACCACCGGCCGAAGCCCATGCCCGTGTTGCGTATGCATTGGCCGAGGTGCGAAAATATTTGATACCCGACAGCAATGATGTCATTCGTCAAGAGCAGTTGCGTGAATTAATCGCCGATGGTACAATCCCATCGGATGCCGATGATCCAGCAAAATATAAGCCACGTGTACCGCATATAGCTCGTAATGCTTATCCAAGCAGCAGGTAATTGTTTCACACATGGATGACAAATCAATTGTGTGGGCCACATAATGTGGCTGGCCCTATCTCAAGCACATTTTTCAATCACCATCTGTCTTCTTCTCCTCACCCATACACACATACAGAGTTTCAGCAACGACACGTTCACCAGTCCCGGCTGGTTCGTCGCGCACGGTGATGCCTGCCAAACAGAAAATATTGTCGATACTGGATCGTGCCCGAACCGCAATGGAAGAAACGTATCCGGCTTATGAGGACGCGATCTATGAGGGTGCGCCGACTGGTCACTACGATAACTATTCATACGGTCATCAAGCACATACGTCAGCACCGCGAACCGCACGCTACGATGCCGCTGACTATGAGGCCGAATATCGGCGAGAATACTATCGCGAGCCGCCAGCCTATGCAGGTAAGCATGTACCACCACTCAAAAAAGCTCGGCACGATCATGCCAATAATTACGATCGTTACTATTACTATTAACAATCGAGTAAAAACAAAAACAAAATGATTTACTGCTAATTTAAAACGAAAATCGAAAAGAAAAAGAAACATTTTACATGCAAAAATACATTTTTCAATAAAATCAACGCCGAGGTAATAAATAATGGCACAAAATGTGACCGACTTAAATTCGATATTCCAAGAATTTTTAATCAAATCGGATGAGAAGCATTTAATTCCAAAAAAACACATTTTAGATTAAAAAAACACATAAAACAAAATCAACAATTCAAATGGCGCTCACTAAACAAACGACAAAATATCGATGGAATAAATAACATGGCGCATAAAACATAAAGAATTTTGAATTAAACACCAACACGTCGCCGGATCGAAGTGAACTAACAACATCGGCAAAGTCATCTTATGCCGATCTCTTTTTTTTTTAAATGAAAACAAAAAATTGTAAACATTTTTTTTTTCGTTGCGTTAAAATCATATCAAATTCAACGGTGTCGCTCGACTAAAAAACAAATGAATTGTATAATTTTCACGACAATTTTAATTTAAAAAAAAAAACAAATATTATAAAATAACAACAAATGCACTCGTATACTATAAGAATTATGAACACATCACATGTTTAGACGTAAAATCTTGTAGAAAATTTCCATTTTTAAACCACATTTAAAATCTACACAATTTTGAAATTTGTCTTGTGTGTATGCGGTAAAGTATCGTGATAGGCTAATAAACATGGATGTTAAAATTGATCTAAATAATTACGAAAAAATCCGAAACGAACGAAAAACTTTCAATTTCTATCGAATAATTTCCTGATTGTGAACGTTGAAGTTAAACAAAAAACCCAAACTCGAAGCTTTTAGTTAATCGAATAGTCCATTTTGGTTCGGTTGCATCAAAGTGTCGCAGAATGAAGTGGCAATACACTGAATGAAGCAATTTGTGAGCATTATTTCAAAGAGATTGTGTGTTGTATTTCGTGAGACTTCAAATTTCTTTCTGCGCCGTTTGATCTGTGGCCAATTTCAGTTTGCGACACTTCAATGCGTTTTTCTTTGATTTTTTTTTTCTCTTTTTTCTATTTATTTCTTTTTCGTTCAAAAAATTGAACGAATTTCTAATTTCCACGTCAAGTAAATTGTTATGATTTTCTGAACTATGCAGCAAGAAGAACATATAAACAAAGGCATCATTAAAAAAAACGTGCTCACAATACCAATCACTAACAAATAATAACAAATCATCCACACACAACCACGAAAACACACACACAAAGTCCATTCAAGTTGCAAAAACATGAATTAAATGAAATTGTTGCATGTGTCATCATCGTCGTCATCGCCGTCGCCGTCATCGTCGTTCAATGGATAAATTATGGTCAAGCCAAGGTTCTTCGTCGATCCCGACGGAATTTTTTTATTTTTTGAAAAAACTCTACCCGAAATGAATTATTATTTTTTTTAAATCCCCAAAAAACACTCAAACGAAAAAGTAATTTTTGTTCAAAAAATAATTTTCCTTTGAAAAAAAAAAAAAAGTTGTGGAAGAATGTTTACAAGTCAACTTGAGAGAAAGAGACATACAGAGAAAGAACTCATTTATTGTCTTTGAAAATGTTATATGTTAATTTGATAATTTATTTTATTGCAAAATTGAGAATGATTAAAACTTATTTTTCAAAATCAACACTTGAATACAGTCGTTTCTTTTTGTCCAACGTTTGTTTTGCATCTATTCAGTTTTTTTCTGTTTTGTTCGTTACTCTTTGGTTGAATTCATTTCATCGTGTTTTCTATCGACCCATCTCCTTTTTGAAATCGATTTTGTCGGCAAAATCATACTGTGGCTTGCTAGTGACGGCGCATTCTGTTCGACTTGCTCTTGGCAACAAACTCTTTGAATGGAGAGAAAAGAACAGGTTTTTCTGTTGGTCTCTCTCGCCTTTGCTATTGTCATTTGTACATTTATGCAACTGAACTATTTGAACGATGATCTCAACGATTAACCTAGTGGCAAAAGTTTTAGGAATGGAAAATCATTTTTCCACTTTTCCAAAGTGAATACCCATAATATAGAAGAATTTTATCCGTCTGACTCAACACAATCTTTTCATTTGTTTCTGATTGGATTTACTAACTCATTTATTCTTCACACACGCAAAAAGGGAAGTAATTCGATGAAAATTTTAAAAAAAATGGCAAAGAAAACTTTATTTCGTTTTCGTGTCGGAAAAAATCAAAATCAAAACCATAATTAGACAACTATTTGCAAAATAACGTGTTAATTCGGTAAAAAAATTAATTTTTTTTCTCGAATGGAACCAAAAATCAACAACACACACACACACACACACACACACACACACACTTTTGAGAACAAAATATAATCCAAAGCCAAATAATAACAAGAAACCAACAAAAAAAGACAATGAAAATCAAAATAAATTCATTTAAATACATCAGCCCATCGTTCATCGTGGAAATCCAGTAGCTATCACGGTAATGGTAGCTATTCATCATCCGGTCGTCATGAGCACGAGCATGTATCATCGTCAGCAAAGGCAGCCATACACAGTTCACATTCGCGTGAAAGTCGCTACAGAAATTCACCATATACGCGACCGAAAAACTAAAACACCCAAAACAAAACTAAGAAACAAAACAATGCTATATCATAAAACCAACTACACATACGTTTATTTTTTAAATTTATATTCTCTCTAATATCTCTTTCACTTACTGAGAGAGCAAGAAAAAAGGGCAACAAGAAATTTCTTCGCAAGGATTCGCTGCCGATATCCGGATATATCCTCTAAAACCAACCAAAACCAAAACAAAAAGCGATTTTGTGAGTGTGACAAACAGAAATAACTAACGAAAAAATAAAAACCAAACAAAAATCGATAGAAGCACAGCAGCATGCGATGGTCATAGACATACAAACAAAATGCAACTAAAAATTAAAAAAAAATCAATGTTAGTTAATTAAAAAACCAAAAGATAAACGAAGAGAAAAAAAAATGAGTCTATTTTTTGCCGATGGATTCGCACAAATGCAGTTTATCTGTTGATTCAGCTGAATGAATAAAAAAAAATCTAGACTCTTCAAAACGAGACCAAAAAACATACACATTTTGAATACGATTCCGTAAACAAAACAAAATATCCTTATAAATAACAACAAAATATATTTGTCTGGCATAAACAAAACGAAATGAATAAATAAATGAGGAAAGCAGAGAATAAATTTTCTTTTTGAATGGTAAAAAATGTGTCGATTATCGCGAACCAAAGAAAAATACACAATTTAAATGGTATCAATTGCTTATAAAATTCATGTAAAAGAAAAAAAAGAAAAGAAATTAATGATGACAATTTGGTTGTAAGCCTGAAGCATTTACAAATCTAACATTTTAAACAATAAAAATTATTGCAAATTGTAAAATCTGAAAACTGAGCGATAAATGAAGATTGAAATAAAAACCAAAAAAAAAAAAATAAACATTCTGAAGAAGCTGAAGATGACTGCCAAACGCAATGAAGATCACAGAAACCAACGTACAGAGAAAAACTCAATATTTTTTAAATCCAATAAAACACTCAAAAATGGAATAAAAAAACAATTTTGAAGACAAAAACACACACAAACAAATAAATAATATCCTCGTTGTGAAATAAGTGCTTATTTATTCATAATCTCAATTATAACCACTACTTCATTATAATCAATAGTTTGATGTAAACCATGAGAATAATCACATTTATCCATTAATAATGAATTAAAATGAAAAAGACAAAGTACTGAATAAAACAACAGAAAAAACACAACAACAATACATATTAATAACATGGCTAAAACAAATGTAATTCGGCCCGTGGGTTTTGGGCGTTGGGCTGATTCCGAACACGTCGACAACCAAAAAAATACTACCGAATCGAAAGATTCGAAAAGCAATGAAAAGAAATAGCAGTGTGTTCGTGTTCCTTAATCGTTCGTTCGTCATAATGAAATTTTGCTCTCTATTGAGAACACTTTCGTTTCGTACTCATTTGAATATGAAAGAATGCGATCAAGTCACCCTTTTGCGGTCAATTGATGAAAAAAAAATTTGTTACCAAAGCAATTCTTATGGTGCATTCAAAAATAGAAATTTTTTGATGGCTAAAAGCAGCTTACCATTACTGGACATTTTAACCATACTGGAAATCCATCAATAGTTTCTTTGGGCCTTCAAATTGAGAATCTTACCTATGTCAGCTCTGGTTCTCAATAAATAATCGAATTGAACAAATGTCTACTGCAAATGATCGATAATTAATTTGAAAATGAAAGAAAAAATTGTATTGAATTGAGCCGGCCTGTGGAAAGAAGGCGACGAAGAAACGTTCGATGACGCCCAATGCTGAAATTCAGAGACAGCTCAATTTTAAGTCAATACTTTGTCCAAAAACCGAAACCATAACCGTATTTTGCTGCAATTTACAACAGAGAGAGAGAGAGAGAGAGATAATTAGAGAATAGAGGGAGGACAGAGAGTGAAAGAGAGAAGAATGGGGGAAATTTGTCATGGAAAGAACCACGTATTGTGTTTGTGTGCTACAATAAACAAAACTAAACATTCTGATTCTAGTCATCGCTATCTGTGGGGACATCCATCAAATGAAACAATTCAAGCAAAACAAAAACACCGTGAAAAAAGCCAATAAATCACTCAATATAAATATTGTACATGTATTCTCTTTCACAAGCAAAAAAAAAACCGAATTATACAAAACAGCAAATCGATTTAAACACACCTAAAATAAATGGAATAAATTTTTAAAGCAATGGATAAATCGAATGTAAATCACACAAACGTTTAGAATTCAGACAAATATAAGCTGAAGCTTTCCATTATAAAATAAAACGTTTAAACAAAAATTGTATTTGAAAAGTCTAATAATTGAAAATGAAAATGATTTATATAATAAAGCGGCACATTCAACAACAACAACAACAAAAAAAATGAATGAATAACCAAAAACAAAATCAACCATAACTATAACTACAATCCTTACTTAAAAATTGTATTTGTGTGACCAACAAAAAAGGCAACCTAAATAATAAACTTTTTGAACCACTTCAATAAAAACCAACAACAACAGCAAAACAACAAATCCACCAAATCGTTTTCTTTGTTTTCTTTTTGATTTTTAATGGATGAACCGAACTTTTCCGTTAAAAAAACCCAAATATATAATATATTTTCTGTTTTTTTTTTATTAAATAGATTTAAACAAGTGCGTAAATGGAAGGTAACGTTTAAAAAAAATGAATTTCTTGGATAAAATGAACGATAACCAATGTTTTATTTCGTGAGACAACAATCGATGATCGACATCGTAGTTAAAACATCTACTTTTTTCCGTTCTAAACCAAATCTCTTAAAAATCAACCCTTTAATTCAAATCGTAAAATCAACCGGATCACAATTGAGCGCATCAATGGATCATGTCAAAATTTAAACATCAACACAAACAACCCCACCCCCAAACCCTCAACCATAAAATAGCTAAAAGACACAACACATATTTGCATGCATTTCATTTCACCTTCGAAATTTGAGTTTAATTTTTGTTTCTTTTCTTATCATACACAGGCAGCAATGTCAAAAATTGGAAGTAGTGATAGCAGTAGATGCCGAATGTGAGGGCGCACAATGTTTTTTAAAAAAATGATTTAACTAATATGATCGAGTGACCACTGTGACAAAAACAAACGATCCAGACACAAAACGCAAAAAAAAACACATACACTCCGAATGCAATGAAAGAGAGAATGAAATAAAAAGAAAACGATTAATGTGAAGAGAGAAGAAAAAATAAGAGAAATATCGAGAACTGCCTATGCATGAGTTATAATTTTCTGCATTTCATTATTATTTTTTAATGCACACACATATAGAAACAGAGGGAAACAACAAATAATCGTAGTTTTTAATCAATAAGGAAGATTAGAAGAGAAAACTAGAACGAGTCTGTGACTAAGACACACACTTGGATGAACTGAAGAAGCAGCATGCCTTCGCAGCATTTTCGTGTAAGTTCCGTTCGCCCGTAAAATATTATCAATTTTGTGGATGATTAGTCATTTTGTAATGCGAATACTATTCCATATTTATGGGTGAGACTGAGAGTAGCTCTACTCTAGTATGTTCCACTGAGGAGAGAAAATTTTCTTCGAATTAAAATTGGTTAAAGGGAGTATGTTGAATTTTGGTAGATTTTTAGTAAATAATAAAGAGATAACGGTTTGATATCATCGGCACATAACAAACATCTCTTATCCCTTGGCAGCTTCACGAAAACCGTGAAAAAAACCTCAACCATAGCATGTCAACATAGTCTCCTTTAACACAAGCAAAATTATAGAAAAAAACTCACTCGCCTTTCGAAGATACTCCCCTCTCAATCTCACACTTAAATACCTTCCTACCTAAAATGTGAATCCTTTTTTTATTCTTTTTCTTCGAAATTGCAGATGAATATTGTAGCCCTATTTGAAACTACCTGAAACATCACAGAGAGAGAAACCGAGACGATACGTGCGATGAAGAGAGTGACTGTTGTGCATTTTAGCACGAGAGTGGCCAACATGTCGATACGAAACATTACAATTGGACTGAAATAGAATCACATTTTATTGGTTTGATCTAAGACCGGTGCTAAAACAAATGGCAAAAGAAAACCAAAAACAGTTTAAATATAAGTTTGGATTTTTGGCAACCAGCAAACGTATTAATACACCCGTTCAAAACGGTGAAAACTGACAACAACAAAAATAGCATAAACTGTGATATAATTGTTAAAAACAAACAACCATTCAATAAGAACAGACGACGTTTGTGTCGATCATAAGATATGTTAATTGATTTTTACAATTCCTTTTCTTCTTTTTTAAAAAAGAATTTAAACAAAACAAAAAAAAAACTGAGAAAACAAATAAAATATGCCAAAATTAAAAAGAAAAATTAAATGAAAATTGGTAAAAAAGAAAATTTCAATGTAAACATTGCAAAAACTTTTAAATGAATTTAATTCGACACACGATTTAAATGATTCCTTGAAGAAAACACTCCAACGTCGAATCCGACGAATCGAGTATTCCTTAAGAAACAAACAAGTTCCATTCCTGTTCCAATAAAGAGGATCTTTTTGGACAACAAAACAATATTCCATTTAAAAATGAACAAAAAAAAACTCTAGGTTTCAATAGCAACTGACGTAGAACTTCAATATTTTGTACCGAATCAACTGTAAAATGTAAACATAATAACAATTGAAGAGAGCAATACCTAAGGTGGAATAAGGTTCTCTCATGAGAAAGAATAAACCAATCCCCCTCCACTCACATTGTCGCTTTATGAAGAAAAAATATGCAAAATTGTTTAGTTCAAATTCGTATCACTCGACATTCGGCTCACGTGAAGACAAAAAAAAAACCATTCACCAGCTTATTTCAAAATCGAAATGATGCATTTTAGCAACGCAAATAAGCAAATGATGAAAAATTGATTCAAAAAAAAAAACTCAGAACAAAACAAATGAAAATAAAGAGAGTTGAACTGTTCAACCGATCAACAACATTCTACGCTTGGCAGAAAGTCAATGCTGAATAAAGCTAATATGATATTATAATATTCAAATGATAATCGTACTATTAAAATAATACCCCACGATATAATATGAACTATTCACGGGGCGAACAGAGATTGATTCGTGTGATTCGTTGGGCGCCATCAACATCTCATATACATATAACTAGGCTTTGTTATGCGCTAAATCCATCACGCTGAATAAATTCATGCGATAGACTTATGCGATAAATGTGATGCGCTCGCTTTGCGGTGAATGAGATATGTTGCTCTTCACTACCGCTTAGCGATACGTTCACTGCAAAGCATGAACGTTCATGCGTGAACAACTGAAGAGCAAAAGACTTCGTTCACCGCAAAGCGAGCGCATCACATTTATCGCATAAATCTATCGCATGAATTTATTCAGCGTGATGGATTTAGCGCATAACAAAGCCTGCATATAACTTAACAGGCAAACGATTTTTAGCCTGAGATCAAGCCACGAATATCAAACTGATTCTGATTTGACAGACTCAACACATTGCTCAAAGGTGCATCTCCGATGGAACACGCGAAACAATTTTTGCCGCCCGAAGAAAAAAAACAAAAACCTAACGATGTAATTGTAATAACAATAATAAAAATAACCCGTAAAATTATGAATAAAATTATGAATTAATCAAGCGACAAACAAACAACACAAATTACACAAACCATATTGATGCGATAAAATGGGCAAGAAGCGGGCGATAAAATGGATTTTTCCATGATATAGTGTGTAAGCTTGGCTTTAACCTAAACATAAATTAAAACAACAAAATCGGGCTAAAACCAACCAAATACATCGCTTGGACAATGGCCGATGACAATATACGATAAATTTACTACTTGAATGAATAAAATAAAGAAGAAAACAAGAAAACAACCAATTGTAATAACCAATAAATTTGAAAAGAAATAAAAACCAACCGAAATTAATACCAACCATGACATTTTGATGAACTTGCGGCGTTTTTCTTTTCTATTTTTTTTTATCGTCCAGAGAAATAGTGAGGGAGAAAATTCAGATTCCGATGCGGGGCGAGGCAGCTAGTGTTTCATTTTGTTGACTCATTCTGTTGCTGAGCTGAAGAAATACAGCTATAAAGATCAAATCTCAATTGAATACATAGAACAAGAGGGACCGCCATATTCTGAATCGGTCTCAATCTTGAAACAGACGTGGGCAGAGGCCGGTAACCGACCGCCCGTTTCGGTTCTATCCCTGGTTTCAAAATCCGACGTTCCATCCTGGCCTTTTTCGGAATTCAAGACCTGCTTTTTAAGTCGTTAGTTCTGGAAATTTGGAAAAAATTCTTCAAAAAACATCTTGAATAACCTAGAATTTCCTAGAATTTTCAATCTGAATAGAGGCTTACCTCAATTTCCCTAAAATCATTAAAAAATTAAATTTGAATGGAAATAGCAATGGAATTACTTAAACGACTCATGTGATGGTTCAACAAAGATAAACGTTTCAGTCAGAAGAAGAAAACTGTTAAACTTGGTGTTTCATTTGATAAATTATTGATTTTATTCAATTCATCTTAAACTTCTATAATCCTAATGCACAATTACACAAATGTTTCGTCATTCGACTGGTTAATTTGTTTCGTTTTAGTGTTTTCATTCCATTTTCTTTATTCATTTTAAATGTGCTAAAAGAGAAAAGCGATTTTGATTTGTGCACACGGACGCGTGAAAAAAATTCCATGTTGCTAATTCCAAATCGATTCAAAGTTGTGTATTCAGAATTGGATGTTTGTTATTTTCAGCCGAAAAAAAGAAGAAGAAGTAAAACCCAACGAAATTTAATCGCTTGGATTTTGAATGACGATGAGAATGAAGTCCTTGTCGGGTGCAACCATAATTTCATGCTTTTTGGAACGTACACGCAAGAAGGTGAGATCATTTCCAGGATCCAAGTCCCGCACCACACTTCGTGCTTTGTCCGACAATTGGCTCATCAAACCGGCATACTGTACGGTTGTTGAATTATCTAAAGTACTTTTCACTGGAATGCCTGGGTGTAAATTGGAACAAACAGAATACAATATGAAATTGATCGAATCCAAAAAGAGCGGAAATTAATTGAATGGCCGATGGTTCGTTGTTTTTTTTCATCGGAAAATTGAAATATGGTTGTTGATTTTCTTTATAGATGTATGAGGTCAATGGTTTCTATGGTGCCGCATATTTAATCAATAAATTTGCTATTTATTTATTTACCAACACGCAAAATGTGCTCTTTATACTAATGAGACCAATGTAATGACGGTGGCCGACACCATTTATCGGTCGATAATTTTTTCGAAATTATAAATACGCAACGAAGATGATCTCATGCCAATCGGAAATTAATATGTATTTGATGAGGCTTACCTTCACTGTTGACAACAATTGTTCCAACAACGCCTTTGTGCGATGCTATTCTCTTTAAGGTTTCTTCCACTTCTTGTGACTGTTGAAAAAACCAATCGAAATTAAATGCAATTGCCATTGAAATCGAAATTTTCATGATGCTTACCATTTTGAGCTAAATAAAATTGATTTTAAATCAGCCGATTGAATAATTTGCCAGTTGTCGAATGCAAATACAAGAGATTGCTATGATTTTCTTTGCACCCAGCTCTCACATACACGAACGATGTTTTGAGTCAATTCATACACAGTAAAAAGTGACACTTTCGATGGCAACAAGCTGTCAAAAAAAATTTACACATTCCAATTTGATGAACAATTTCAACGTGCAACAGCATGAAGTTGGCCACAAGCCATTTCGAACGCATCGTTTTGTTTATCCAGTATAAACATTGCAGGAACACTGATGTTATATTTAAATATCATCAATGAAATTGGTTCCGCTTAGGTGGACAGAAGAGGCATTTGAAAAGATACCAATATTTCTTAATTGAATTGATCCAATTTTAGACTTTTTTCTTTTACACGGAAAAAACAATTGTGGAAACAGTTTGGGTGTTTCGAAATTGTGTATGGATCATTCATACATCGAACAAATGCTCAATATAACCTTTTGACATTTCTTTTTTCCAGCAAATACAAATGCAATATTTGGTTTGACCAATGCCAAATACATTTCGTATTGGCATTACGATGCTTGCCATATACCGATACCATCCAATGAGTTTGGCATTCAAAACAAACATTCAACACACATTCCATGAAAAATGGATTTCTTTCGCTTTTGTTTTCGTTATTGTCGCAATTTCAGTGGAGCTTATTCAGCTCTCTCTCTCTCTCTCACTCTCTCTCTCTCTCTCAGTCTCTCTTTCTCTTTATTTTATCCATATCTATCGTCAATGTATGCGAATTTCTCACATTCAACATTTTTTTTTTACATTTCCCCGCTTATTCTCTCTCCCTCTTTCTTTCTTTCTCTCGCTCATTCGTAGCTCACAACGTTCACTCAGATGCGTTTTCCACAGAGAGTTCACCTTTTGCATCCGATTCGATGCTTCTCATTCATCGTATCATCGCTTTGTGTGCTCACTTTCGTTCTGTCTCTCTGTCTCTCTCTAGCTGCGCGTAGTTTCTCTTTCTCTCCGCATTTTGACAAGTGTGTGGCAAAGCGAAAACAGACAACAAGCGTCACTTTGTGTTAGTATATCCACTGACATTCTCACGTACAAAGCGTGTGTAGTTTTTTTTTACGTGTGTTGTTATTTTCTATTCAAAAAAAAAAACTTACAAATATCATTCAAAAAAGAGGAGACGAATTGACAGAAGAAGAGGAAAAAAACGAATTAAAACTACACGACATAAATGACGACGTCAAATTTTTTTTATAGTTTTGCCACTGTAAACCTTGCAAGGGTTTTCCAACTAACGTGAGATTTGATGTGTGTGTGTGTGTGTGTGTGTTTTTGGTCTCACACAAATCGTATTTGAAGTGAAATTAGGCAGCTAATAAAGGAAGGTGCTCGTGTGGAAAAGCAACTCCATAAATTTCTAGATTTGAACAACAACAACAACAACAAAAAAACCTTTTCCTGTTGTTCTCTCTTGGTGTGTTCATTTGACAAAGTGTCTTGTTTGTAATTTATTTCTGTGAACGCTGGGCGATTACAGTTCTCATGTGTCACAAAACGCAAATTTTTCTTCAGTGACAATAAATTAACAGCCTAACATACAACAAACAATAAAAAAAAATAACAATTGGTTGGACGCAGTGCATACATGTTCATTTGTGTGTACGATGGTCATTCACAAGTTGTTTGCTTGATGAGCGATTGAACGAGCCTCAGTACGCGATTGTGCTCTCTATCAAACAGCTCGGCTCAATTCGGTGCTGCTACTGCTCTCCATTTGAACATCAGCAACGACGACGACCTGTGTGTGTGTATATGTGACTCGGATGAAATATTCTTGAAATTGCACATTCTTGCCTAACAACAACAACAACAACAACAACAACAACAACTATAAACAAGAAAACAACCAAAAATTTGTCAGCGATTGTGCAACACGAAAATTGTATATAATTCACTTGAGCGCACCATTTCATCAACAACGGACCAGTGAGTAGAGACACAAGAAGCGACGACACACACATGTCAACGACAAAAAATCAAGAATTTAAACAGCCCACGCCAAACTAGTGATAAAATTGAGAATCTGCTTCGATTTGGAACTGTCAATGAATTTTATTGAATTGTGACATATCAGCCAGTTAGCAGCTGATGAATGTGATTTGTGTGACGAGGAAAGAAGGATAGGGAAAAATAACAACAAATACCACTTAGAAACAATCAAATCTACTTAATTCCAGAATATGACACAAAAAAATGTGTTGATAAAACGTGCAATTATATAATATTCATTTATGGTGTGTCAGCGATGTTTATTGGCGTTTTTTTTTTTTCGGGCAAATATTTACTCAAGCCAAACAATTTCATGCTCATAGAGCCCCGAAAACGTCATCCAGGAGTTGATTTTGAACGTTAGTTTCATTAAGTATTGAAAAGTCACATTCATTGCGCTGCTGCAATCTGTGCAGCAACTCTCATTTGCTATTGCAAATCGTTTTTTGGCACCGGGGCAACACAATTTTCGGTAATTCGGAGTGGTGCGAAGCGCGCGCGATAGACAACAGCACATTCGTCTTCGAGCGAGCATCTAATTAATACATACGCGACGAGCTAGTTTCAAGGAGAAAACAATTTTGCACTGCAAAACTCGCTCGAACAGTGTTTGAAAATAAGAAATTATTCATTTTTTCGGGGCTCCAGAATCAACATTTGGTAATTGATTACCGTGTGACCGACAACCGAATTTGCCAATATTCAATTGATGTTAATTTTTCGCAAGTGAGAGTTCAAGTACGCGAATTTTACGAGAGTCGAGAGTGATGAGTGCGCTTGGTCAAGCGTAAAAAAAAACATTTTTTTTTGCCAAAAAGGCCCAGTTAAAACCAAGCGAAATCAGGAAAACCGAAAACTCAAATGGAAAATCAATTTCGTTTGAACGATTCTATAGGCAAGCACGCCAAATGATTTTAAACTTTGTGAAAGAAAAAAAGAAAAAGAAAGAAAACAATAACAATCGACACTCATTGAATGATTCATGATCAATTTCATGCAAACACATCGAAAATGTATTACACACACTGTGCGCGCGAACAACAAAACATAATCATAGCCTAGATAAGTGAAAAGAGAACCAAACAAAACAATAGCAAAATTTAAGGCGATACACATCGATAAAATATAAAAAAAGAGCGAAGAAGAAGAAGAAGAAATAGAAAAAAATAAAAGCAAATTTTTGGAATGTTTGTTTTTCGACCGGGCAACGCAACTCTCAAACCCACGCCGGAAAAAGGAGCCAACTCATGCCAACGTGAACGACAAGAAGACAGTGAAAAAATAATATCTGAAACGAAAAAACAAAACAAATAAACACACATCCGAAACTGAAACAACTCAAATCAGCAGAAAAAAAAAAATAATATCGGAGCGACGACAACAATAACAAAGAGCCGAATTCGCAAAATGGAAATGGAACAGCAAAACAATGAATTGGATCCGAGAATTCAGGTAAAAACAACAACAACAACAACATCAATAGCAACCACACTATAGTAAATATGCAGCGCTTGGACTTTGGTGTGCATTGTGCACTTTTTTGCGTTTTATTTATTTTTTGTTCGTTGGTTTGCGTACAGTCCAGCGATAAACTGCTGTTGTTTGATATTGGTGTGTGCATTTTTCTTCTGTTGTATTTGCAAGTGGTGGCCGTAGAAAAAAAAATGTTCGTGGATACTTTTGTGTGTGTAAAATAAGCGTTTTGTTTTCTGACTTCTGTGCAAATGACTGATTGTGTTTGCAATTCATCACCCAGCCCACAATGATCTGGGCCGGCTAAAATTTTGATATTCAATCCCCGCGAACTGTTTCCCCATTTCTATGATTCATTAAATTGTTTTGTTCTTTCTCTCTGGCTTCGGTCGAGCAACAACAATAACAACAAGAGCTGCAGCAGAAACAACCAATTTGGCTTAGCTGTGGCTTCTACTCTGCTCAGCTCATATTTTTTTTCCGCCGCCTGACTTTTGCACGTTGCGCGCGCGCATCCGCTCGCTCTCTCCCTCAATTACTCATTTGTTTAGATTGTTCAAGTGAGTGAGAAATTAAATCTTTCGCTTTGCTTGCACTGAACACAACGATATAAGAGATGCAAAGTAGCAATGATTAGATTTCATTGGTATTAATCTAGGCATCGTGCAGCCAACTCTGTCAACCGTAAACGGTTTGCATTCTTCTTTTTGCACGGCATCCAAAACGGCTTGTTCAACCAAATGAGATTGGCAATGTGATCCGATCGATATATGTGTGTTTTTGCATTGAACCATTGATGGAAAAGCGGAAAGAAATTGCATACGAAATGAATCAAAAGCGAAAAAAAATAACAAACAAACAAACAAATGTTTGCCAATTGAAGAAACCCACCGAGCATTTTGTGTGATCAATATTCCGGGAGGAATGAGCGAAATGCGATGATTTTCGTCTTTTTTTGCGTATAACATTTCGGCGGGGGTTACATGTCGGAATTTCACCTTCTCTTATCGCTCGCGCGACATACTACCGCTGCTATCGACCTTTTTCCATGCGCTGTGTAGTGCGTTGTTTTTCTTCTTTCTTCTGCTCGCCTGTTGTTCCAATCGATATATACTATATTAAATTGTTGTACATGTGAACGAAATAACAACAAAAAACAAGCAACTTCAAGGAGGTCAATTAACAATGCGAATTCTCCGACAGAAGCAGCACTACTTAGCTCTAATGCTATTCGGCTCTATTTCTCTCACACTCACTCACTCTCCACTGCGGAATGTGTAAAGTGTCGATGTCGTGCTGGTATTTGTGGATTTCAATGTTCATTCAATATGACAACAACGATGACGATGGCGTTGCGATTCAGATATATAGGCAGTTTTTTCTTCGTGTGTATCGTGCCGACTTCACTTTTTTTTTGCTTCTCTGTTCATTGTTCGTTCAGTTCATTTGTTACCGACTAATTTATGCAAATGAAATGCACGTGTTTTACTATTTTCGCTATGCTTTTTGTTGCTAGACCATTTTGCATCGTCATATATAAATATAAAAAGAAATCCCAACCACCACCACCGCCGCCGCCGTCACATACGATTCAATTTGCTTTGCGACTGTAAAAACAAAGAACAATTCGAATAGCACACAAATTATTCACGATTCTATAGTATTGTGCTCATTCAACGAACGAACGAAAAGAAGAAGAAGAAAACTTCACTCATTTTTCGTCTTATTGTATTCAATTAAAAGTGAAACGAAAGTGGAATTTTTCGCGCATTGTACAGGGGAAAATGAAATTTGATGATTATGAAATAAGCTGCAACGAGAACAAAAAATCGCATGGAACAAACAAACAAATTGTTTTCGTGATGGAAATATGACTTTGGTAAAATGATGAGCATTGCATCTATTTTTAGATCATTACATGATTTAGCGCAAGCGATTATTCTTTGCTAATGCGGTATTTTACCTGTATTCAACCGAAAAAAGGAGAAATAAATGAAACGCAAAACGTTGGCATCTTTTCCGTAGAAATTACTCAATGCGAGTGAGAACGTCATTCGTCTGCTTTGGTCAACATGTAAATTTTTGCTTCGTTGAAATTCACAATAGATAAATCTTAATCGCCGTCACGGTTGTTGTTCGTTGCCTCTTGTTATTTTTTCTCCTCGTTTGTGAAAAGAATGCCCAAGAATGGTCATTTCGACACAAACAACGATAAATTCAACTCTTTGTCCATTCCACCCAATTAATTCCAACGAAATGATCATCATTTCCAAAGCCATAAAAAAACCCAGCACTCTGTTTTCTGTTCGCTCTCTCTCTCATTCATTCGCTGTCCGAGTAAATAAAGCACTCACACCGAAATAGACAAACAAAAATACATTTTAGCATTTATAAATCATAGAAATGTGACAGTTGGACTTCAAACATTTTTTTTTAACTATTTGCTCGTGTTGAACTATTTCAAATGTCACGTGATTCATTCATTAAGTGTTTATAATTAGAGAATTTTGCTTTTTTTTATTCTCTCTCTATTTATGTTCACATGTATTTTTTAAAATGCTGCTGCACATTTGGATCTCATCAAAATTAGATCGAACTGGAAAACTTGAACACCGCTACCGAAGAAATCAACCGATTGGAAATCGAATTAGAGGTTCGTATCGAAACGTTTATCAATTTTGAATTGCAAAAGGAGTTGAGGTAATCGGGGCGAAATAATAGGATTTAGCATTTACCTAAAGGAGAAAAGGCATTTACCCAAAGAAATCGACTGTATTAAAGGTAAACAAACCGTTATCGAGGTGGAAACCATGGCATAATTTAAGGAATTTCGATTTTTGAGTATTGACAACTGCCATTTGATCTGGGGCGATTAAAGGTTCAAATATCCGAATACATGTGAAGCTTGGAATATCTAGTCTTAGTTTTAGTATATCAGACCGATGGATTTAATTGCCAAGTATTGGAAATTGCAATGGGTTTATGGGCAGTAGGTTGTTGTTGTTGTAATCCTGACTGCCCATAAACCCATTGCAATTTCCAATACTTGGCAATTAAATCCATCGGTCTGATATACTAAAACTAAGACTAGATATTCCAAGCTTCATCATGTATTCGGATATTTGAACCTTTAATCGCCCCAGATCAAATGGCAGTTGTCAATACTCAAAAATCGAAATTCCTTAAATTATGCCATGGTGGAAACACCAGCCAGTCATCAGACTTCGAACTCGAGACGACTAGGTGACGAAATCAGTGTCTGAAAGCTTTGCACCGACGAGAAATCAAACAGTCATAGCTTTTAATGACCCTTGAGTAAATGGAATTTGCTAAATGTTAGCACATACACACAGTTCTAAATCCTCTTTACAAGCCCTCGAAACCTTTCAGCTCGCTCCATTGTTCAAAAGCGCCCCAAATTTAAATGGACAAAAGTAAATATTTGATCAAGAAAAGTGAACTTTAAACTTGGGGATGGAAAACATCGGCAATTCATTTGATAACTGTAGAAAAAAAGACTGTTATTCATATTATGCAGTCATTCTTTTGTTCCCGTTGAAAATAGCCATAGGTGACTCAACGAAATCATGACTCAATGAATGTGTGTTTTTTTTCTCGTTCGTTTGTTTTTTTAGGAAGCGAATTCGACGTTCAACATTTTATACAATGAATCGACGCGCCGCTTGAAATTGCTGATAAAAAAGTTGGGTAGTTGCATCGAGAAGTCACGGCCGTATTATGAAAGCGCGGAAAAAGCACGTTTGGCACGAATTGAATGTCAAGCAGCCGCAGCTGAATTTCGACGTGCGAACGGTTCGTATACACGTTTTTCTTTATTTTTCGGCCAGATTTTTTCCACTTCATTTTTTTTGCTGCTGCTGCTGCTGCGGCTGCGGCTTTCAAATATGGAAACGATTCACACAATTTCCCAGTAGATTCACTTTTAAACTAATTATTCTGGTTTTTCTTCTTGCGTTACGCAAGTTACATTTTGAGCCAACGAAAGTTTGCAATTTAATTAAAAAGAGTAACGAGTCAATTTTTTTCTTGTAAATCTGAGTGAAATACGGTGAAATTTCTGATTGATTCTACTTAATCAAGCTTTGAAAAATGGCTAAGCTCTAGAGTGTTTTTTTTTGTTTTATTGGGAATTGGGTCATTGTTTCCATTCTTTTTTACCCTTCCTACCATTATACCCTTAACAAATGTACATGTTTTGTTTCATTGAACACACAGAAATCCATGCGGCGGCCAAGGAAACCGTTGCACTGGCGGAAGAAAGATTTATGACAAATTCACACAATTGGCCATTTGACAATGCATGGCAAGAAATGCTGAATCATGCTACAAATAAGGCAAGTGAACATTTTTACCTCCCCCATTTGAATGAAATTCATTCAATGAATGGAAAAAAAAGTCATTTTGAATAAAAATTCATGTCTAAATCGTTTTCGCAATGAATTTGTTTGCATTGCAGGTCGCCGAAGCAGAGAAGAAAAAGGCTGAAGCTCACGCTGAACACCAACGAAAGGCACATATCTTTAATAAGATTGATTTGGAGGTGAGTGGTCACACATTGATTTAGACAAGGGATGAATATGGGTTTTTGCCGTACATTTTGCCGTTCATGCATTTTACCCTTTCCAAAACGGAATTCTTTTTCGGAATGGTTTCGGTTGAATTTTTAATAATGTTTGAAGTTTATTCGAAATTTGTTGTCTTTTTTTGTTGTTGTAAGATTCAAACCTTATTTGAATGTCCGAGAATGAAAACGCAACTTCTATTCACAACACATATAAGTGAAACAAAAATAAAACAATTTATTGAAATGAAACAACACAATCGAATTTTTTCAAAGTGTAACAACAAAAAAGATTTTTTTAAAGTGTAACATCGGTATGTTGTTACACTTACTACATACCGATGTTACACTTTAAAAAAATCTTTTTTGTTGTTACACTT